GCATGAGGCATCATGAAATTTAGTTTTGAAGTTCTTTTTTTATACTATGAGTGTTTCATGTGGCAGTGGACTAAACATAGGGAAATATGCATGAGGCACTTAAAGGCCCTCTAGTGGAAGGCCTGCTATGGAAATCTTCCAGATTCAAATGGACAAATTAAAAAAATTACCAGGAACAGGTTTAAGGAAACATATGGAGACAATTTTCATATGAATGATGCCCTGTGGCCTTTCCTGCAAACTAAAACCAAGGATCATTTGCAGATATTTTTTCATTTTTTAAAAAAAACCTACTAGTACCCTGATCTTACGTTGTGACAGCAAGACAGCAGCATTTTGATAAGAAGGCCCAATTTAGACCCATTTGACTAATTACATCAAATTGACAAGTGTGAGTACTATCACTACAATCTTGACTGAAATTATGTTTACTGTATGGTTTTCATAGCTGATAACACCCCACGCCATCAGAGTTCAAACCCCGCCACGCCACATTCCCGGAGTTGTTGAAGTAACTCTTTCCTACAAATCCAAACAGTTCTGTAAAGGTGCTCCTGGACGGTTTGTCTATACCGGTAAGTGTAAAGCTTCTTTGTTTCTTCTAATCTGTGTCTTGCATACTTTAATGATGCAGGGAATTAAAACATTGGATTTTCATTTTCATGTTGGTACAGTCACATTAGTAAATCTGTGAGCCGGTTCGAAGCAATGGGTCAATCTCAAAAGGCACCTTTAACTCTGAAGGTGCATCCTATGTTCGGATAATTCCACATTTATTTCAAGAAACTGTTTTGTATTTTCCAATACAATTATGCTGTAATATAAAACAAGGGATATTATTGACAGTTTAGCTGGAAAAGTTAGGTATGAACTCAAGATCTGGCAGAATACTCTTGTACAAACATACATGTACCAAAGAATGTCAGGGCAACTAAATACTTCCATGAGTGGAGTGGAACGACTTCTGCTGGTGCAATGGGACTTCCCCCTCTCTCCTCCCCATGTGTACACTCTGTGCCATCCTGGAATGCTGAGAAGAACTCCCAAACTAATTTAGGGGGTCAGGGGGAAGGCGAGGGAGGAAAAGTCCTGTTTCATAAGCAGGAATCATTCCACGCATGCAAGGATTTACTTAAGCACTACATTAAACAAAATCCTCAGATTTTGTTTTTTAAAATAAGGAGCACAGACCATTCCTATATGCTCAGCCATGTTGATAGGGTCAGGTGATTCCTATATCCACAGTTGACTCCCAGTGCATGCAAGTGGGCTTGAGTAATCTGCAAGCCATGACCCCATTGGGTGGTAGTGCGGAGAGTGACTATTTGATGAGCGAACATAAGATACCCATGGCCTTTTGGTCTTAGTAAGAGTTACCGTAGTATTCTGCAGCGCATGCGTACCTGAGAGGCCTCCAAAAGAAGGGGAGTTCATTGAGTTTTATAGTCATCCCATCTGTTTCATTATGGCAGTGGTAGGCTGCTGAATCCGGCCTGTGGGCTGGATCCTTATCTCTCCAGCAGACCTTGGGTTAAATTTGACAGGTGGGCAGAGTTGCCCACCTTTCAGTCACCTGGCATCACTATGATGGTAGGCGTCCTGTTTTTGCTCAAGTAGATGATCAACTATGCATACCCCAGCAATCGACTGATAGTTGGGTGTTGCAAAGCACTGAGCACATGGCAAACCCTCTTTGGTCAAGCCTCATTTTTACACATCCCACATTTGATGTCATATGTGGAGGCTAGGTGGGTGTGGCTTGACCAAAATAGCCTTGTGGACCAAATGAGGAATCGTGCCAGGACTGCTTAGGCTTGAGGGCTGGAGGTTCCCCGCTCTTCCATTATGGCATTAACAACGGATTATGCCCAGATTTTGTAGCCCTCATGGTAAATAAATAATTTGTTAAAAGCATCTGTGGGTACAAAGGCGGACTTGTACCTCCCTCCACTAAAAGACAAGGCAGGGTACAGACACATTGTGCTGGTTTTAACCCTTGCGAGTACGTTGAAATGTTACTCAAGCTATTCTAAATCCCTGTGGGACTATGGTGATTCTGCCCGGTATTTCATGCTTACATTTTGATGAAATTAATGAGGTGCTCTGAGATACCATGTTTGGAAATACGTTTTGCTACTGAACAACAACAACTTCTCATGACGCAAAATTTGGAAATAAGGACACGTGCTGCAATTAATGTGCTTCAAGTTTATTTATTTATTTATTTATTTAAAACACACGTAATGGTAAGGTATAACAATGCCAGAGAGCATATTTTTGAATTTTTTTATCATTAATTTGTATATAATCCTTTTGACATAAAAAAAATGAGTGCAGGAAGCTTACTAGACTGAAAAGATGAATGTGTATCAGGGTCATACTCCTTTACTAATATATCCTACTGACAATGTCATCTGGAAGAGATGTAATCAATTAATATGTACAAATGAACTACATTTATCTTAAACAGACACTCCTTTGCTAGTTTATAATGACTGTGGAAAATACTAAAGCCTGATAACATAGAACTTGCAAAACATGTTGCTCCGAAGTAACAGGTTTGTGACATAACTGAAATGTATACTAACTACCATGGTACAGTTTTGTATGCCCATGAATTCTCGTTGGAAAGCTTAGGTACACATTCTGAGGTGGCACAGTGGAGAACACTCTACAATGTCAGTCAATGTGCATTGGATTGGATGTAAGATTTCAAAGGTTGTAAACCCTAAGGGGGAGGGAATCCGAAAGGTAGTTCTACCGCCTCATGTTACACCCAGTTAGACTCCTTGTTTATTTAACATGACTATATTATGCACAGAGAAGTGGTTCATAACTCAGAGCACATATTTCTGGACAGCTTTTTTATTATTTCTGTAAACCACTTAGAAGTTTTCTTACAATCAAGTGGTATATAATTTTTGTTAAGTAAAATGAAAATAAAGGTATATGAGCACCAACCATCTTTCTACGGTCAGGCATGTATGCTATAAGTATCAGCCACAATCCAACACAGAATTAGGGAAGTTTTAGCCCCTGAAGTCAGGGCATTTAAGCATGCTAAATCTTCTGATGGATTGTGGCCATGAGAAAAGAGTACCAAGAAGAGAGCGCCCCCTTTAAGAGAAAATCTGAGGTGGAGGGAACTGAATAGGTTGAGGCCATTGGCAGTTGTTACTATCTGGTCACAGTGCATCCTGACTTCCTAAAAGTTCTCTTCTTGGCTGTCTTAGTGAGGCAATAATTAGTGGTGGCTATAGCGGTGATAACTTTGGCAAGGTTTACAGCAGGGATATCAGAACCAGTTGAGTCTCAGTAGAGCTGAGGTGAGTGGCTACTTTGGAAGTCCTTTAATAACACTCATTTGTTTCAACTGGTCTTTCCCCAATCAGTTGTAGTCCTGTTCACTAGATGGAGGCTGGAATACCATGTTGGAGTCTGTTTTTATTTTTGTGACTCTGTTTTTATTCTTGTGGTTTTCATATTCTGTATAAGTAATATTGATTTTGTTTTGTTTTAGTTAATACTGATTTCTTGTACTTGTAGTTTTTATTAATATAAGCTGCTTTGGATGGGGTATGTCTGGAAAAGCACCATACAGATATTTTTAAAGCTATGGTCTTCCAGATGGTGTTGAACTACAAACCCCATCATACCCAACCAGCTGTTCTGAGCAGGGCTGATAACATCTGGAGGGCCATAAGTTCCCCAAGAATAGCCTAGTTATTATGATATATTAAGGAATTTTATATAGGTGAAATGGCAATTAAAATAGAGGATATGTGCAGGTGTGGTAAACACTTTAGCAGACATGTTCCATGATGGTTATGATGCAACACTGTAGTTAATGGATTTCTTTGAGTGTCTGATAACTAAAACACCCGAAGAGATACTTATGTTATTAGCTTCCCAGAGCCTAGCTGGTTTTATATTGGGAGTCTATTCTGAAAATGTCTATTTGCAAGTAGTCCTGCTCAGCTCTGTCAGGATACCTATAAGTGTTTATGTCGTGGGGTCCTCTCTCTTTTTCTTTTTTTAAAAAGCAGTTACAGTATTTATAATCCTGATACATTAGCTAATGTAAATGGATAGTTCCACCGACTTCAGAGCACGCACTAATGAGAACCTGGCCTCAGTCTTCAAAACTCAATAGATAAATGGAATTTATTGAATGGTTCTCTCCACATAAACTTTCATAGTTTTACAGTGTTTAAAAGTCACATTCTCATAAAGATCAATTTATTCTTTGTCCCTTTCACAAGAAGTCATAGGAAATGTTAAAGAACGACATTTAAGTGAATCAAAGTTACTAAAACTGCTGTGGCTGCAATTAATTTACTGGAAGCATAAAAATAAAGACTTGCAAGACTACACGTTTCAAATGCTTTTTAAGGGGCACGGAAGCCTATATGGCTACAGAAAAGTAAGAGGAAGGGTAAGGTCACAGCCTGTCTGACCTGGAAACTTCAGTCTGATTTGTATTGCCCCCAAATTGATGGGGACAATGAGATAATCATTGGAAATTACACTCACCATTGAAAACTGAGCCAAACTTCACTGTATTTCACAATATGAAAATTATGTGGCCCCATAAGAGGGAGGGGCAGAATCCCCAGGGCATCTGTTTTCCATCAGTGTCCCACCATGCTTGCAGTCTGGCTTGGCACTCTAACATTTAACCTTCTCAGCATGAGGTGGAACAAAGGGCAACAAGGCTGCAGAATAATGAAACAAGGGTGCAGTGTGGTGGAGAAAACTGCTTTTGAAAAGTACAGAAGTTGAGACATTTAAATGACGTGTGTGTGTGTGTGTACACCAATATAAAAGTACCAGATTTTAAACACAAGGGAAAACAACAACACAGCCCCCCTGCACCAGGCCCTATTAGTCACATATAGTAAGATTGCTGTTCTGTTTCTCAGCAGGCTGAGAGGAAGGTCTATTACCATCTATCCATGCCTTTTTGCCTGCTGCTTTCAACTATTGTAAAGATACAATTACCTTGGGAGATTGTGGCAGTTCAGTTGATTAGCACGGTGAATTAAAAGAATGAGTCACAAATGACATGTCCAGCTCTTCTCCACTAGTCCTTGGAATTCCCAGTGTACCTCACCCTTGTTGTAAGAAGGTCAAAAATTAGAGAGACATAACAGTTTTCAAGCAGCTAGCACTTAGGAGCAGAATTAACAATCATTCTGTATGTAATTGCCAGTTAGTAAATTGCCTTCTAGACTGTAAAATGCAATATAAACTGGTGGGCACCTAAAATTAAATTAATGAGATATTTGCTGCATTTAAAAGTGAACAGTGCAAATTAATAATTGAGTGCAGTACTTGTTTTAATATTTGTCAAGTAGTGTATCACTTGCTTGTTTAATGACAATTAAAATTGTTCTTACCTGAAAATAAAATTCCTGGTGTATTTAAATTAAGCAGCTTTCTGCAGGTTAGATTCATCATTTTACTTACTAGCAGTCATTGAAGGTTCTTAAATTAAATATCTGAGATTACTTTTTAATTAGATTATAAGCATTGCAATGTTATTTGATTACGGCAAATTGTGATTTGTATGCTTCTAAATGGAATTATGTTGCAGTTAGTATTTTTTTTTTTAAAGCACACATTTGAAACTATGAGGAATCATTATGTATGTTGTCTTTAAGAAAACAGTAGTATGTGTACACCAGTTTGGGTGTAAGCATGTCACTATTTTGCTGGAGTGCATTTTACATAATAGTTTCCTGGTGGGCAAAAGAAAACCATGCCAAGCCGTATCTCTTTCAGCTAAGTGTTTTGCAGCCCATTTCTTCCCTCCTCCTCAGTTTGGTTAACTTTTGTTCAAGCAAAAAAGAGAACAGGGATTCAAGTATCACTTGCAGTACACAAAACCCAATTGCAACAACAAGGGTAAACATATCCAACACCAAAGCAGAAAAATCTGAATGTTGAACCATTTCCAGGCCTTTGACACATTCACTAGTTATCAGAATAACAATTATTCCTGCACAAAAAAAACCCCATTCAGCTTCAGACTTATGAAATGATTACACAACAAGTAATCACTCCTCTTAATAGGCTACTTATGTGTAAACAAAAATGCATGATACCCCTACTCTCCTCAGTATTGCAGGGAGAGGAATATCTTGCATTTGTAACTGTATTTTTGTTCCGGGTGCTCCAGGGTTAACCATCTGTATATTTATCCATTTTAGCTAGTACACATTGTTTTTAACCACTTCACCCTATGAAAAGATCTCACAAGCTTTGAGCATTTAAGGATCTTCCGTGTAAATTCCAGTGTGGCTTTGTCAATGGGACTGCTACACCGTGTTCAGAGTCAATAGCTCCCTTCCATCACAGCCAACACAAACTAGCTGTCTCATAGGTCAGTGCTCTTTAAACAAATTACTTGTATCCACAGAGCAAATGATTGTTAATTGCCTCCCACAAATCATACTATTTTTACTATGCTAAACTAAATGCTAATGCCTTAGTTAAATTCAAACCACCTGATAATTTCTTGTACATATTCAATTATAGTTCTTAACCACAGAACTTTGTCATCATGAAAAATTATTAATAAAACACAGATAATGAATGGTTAACATTGGTTGGCTAGCACTTAAAAAGAAAACTTACTGCTGTTTTGGCATTCCTAGCAATTCTAATTGTCTCCTGCTTGCTTTTTAATTCTTTCATTATCCACAAGGCATCTTTTTCTTTTTATAGTATTGGTTATTTATTGATCAGGCCAATAAATCTGGACCAGGAGGTCCTTAAAAAGTGGGACAGATATTCTTATCTTTTTATCAGGATGGTTCTTTCTAAAATGTTCTTCAAAACTGATTGGCTAATTTGTGCCACCCCACCCCCAAGACAAAACTGTTACAGCCGATACTTTAATTTTACTATGTTCTAATTTTAAAACAAACAAATATTATGCTAGATATAGCTTATCTAGCAAAAAACATATTTTATAAAAGCTGAGATGGGAAGATTCTGTTTAGATACTGAGATTCTGTTTAGCATTGTCTTTTCATTTTCAGTACGATAAGCATTTCAATTAGGCCGGCAATAATGGAGATAATTTTTTTTATTTGGTTTCCTATCACACTGACAATATCTTAAGATTGCATAAAACAGCTCATTTTAAACCGCTGCAGTTCCAATAAGTATAACGTGGTCATTGTTGTCCCCTTTCTTTTCTGTCTCAAAGGAGACCAGAAGAATGAGACATACCATTTGTGCTATTGCACAAGTAGACTATTTGTTCTAATCAGTGACACCCATTTACTAGAATTGCTTAAAATGAACTATACCTCATACAGAAATCGCACATTTAGAGTGTTCCATTCATCATCTGAAAATTGAGGGCCAGTAAACTTTTCTGTTCCTCCAGCGGGATCATAGACATGCATCAAAATGTTAAAAAATGATTGGTGAGAGAGAACTGTCACCCATTTATCAAAGAAAAGGAACATTATTTGCTAATTTCCCAACCAAGGCAGTGACAGGGTGCTTCGTCTTTAGACCCATGGTGACCAACATGGCCTTTTTGTTATTAGTACAAGTCAAGCGCTTTTTGGCTGTTGCTAACAAGACACATTTGTCTATCATCAGAGAGTGCTTTATTTCCTCCACCCCCCCTCCCAAGTAGCTGTGACCAAAGTCTGATCTCTGCATCACAACTGGCTCCACTTCTCCAGGTTGTGGCAGCACTGGGTAAAGGAGGAACTTATAAATCACAGAGTTTCTGCATGAAGGTGAAGTTATTGACTCTGTGGTACCAAAACTGACAAAATAGAACGGCAAGGAAATACTCATTCATCTCGCCCGCCCCTGCCCCCAAAGGACAAAAGGGTCATTTCCTTTTACTCCGTAATTGATAAAAATATGATCACATGCATAAAGCTCTTACTTTGTTTTCACTGATACTTTTTCTCCCAGTTCTTCTTTCCTCTCTACTGTGCCTATGAAAACATCGTTACACGGGACAAATGAAAGACACAGTATATCAAACAATTTTTTTTTGTAAAAGCATTTTTGTTGAATAGGCATTTCATCTTTTCCTTCAATAACCCAAGGTTTTGGCTACTGAAAACTTTTACACATCTTCATAACTATATGTGGTACCAGGTGCTTCCAAAAATTGGTATTACACAAAGCTTAGCCCCAGTCCCACCTTAGGCTCCTTCCACATAAGCCTCAGTTCTGCCAGTCAACTCTGCTACGCACACCCACCCGTTCCAAACATTTAGAAATAAGTGCAAACTTGACATGATGTTAAATGCAGCTTTGCACTCAACATACAGACTTTTAAAATGCAAATTGCATCCATGGAGGAAGAGAGCCTGATAATCAACAGGACCAGAGCAGGCATGGAAGGGAAATGTACCCCATTCCTACTTACTGCATTCCCAAGGAAAATGCCTCCTCTGAAGCTGGTATTTGTTTTGTGGGAAAACGCCAGAGGGGCATTTCCTACTAATCCAAACCACACCCACTGGTGATATCAGCAGGGACATGGTTTAGTCCTGCATTGACCATGTGCCCTCTTTCCAGCAGTGAACAGGATCTCATAGTCAAGGCAGCAGGATTTAATCCCTGTGCAACAGATGACGAGTGAGGATTAAAGTGCTTCTCAAAAACACAGTTTGAAGCAGCTGCTACACTTCTGCTGCAAGGCTGTGGGTGGCATCAACAGTGGAGAGAGAGAGAGAGAGTCCCCCCCCATCACATCAGGTGCTTCAAGCAGCACTTTTGAGAAGCGTTTTAAAGCACCCTCCATGCTCCTGTTTCAGCTAAAATGGGATTGTGTGGACTGCCTTATAGCACTCTTTGAAGCACCCACTTCCCCATGTCCATTAAATGGGAGAAAGGAAGTAAACTGCCTTAATGGACCAGCTTAGAGAGCAAAAACTGCCTTCCATCTTCTCAATGGTGTAGGCAGCCCCAATTGCATTGCTGTCAGGGACTAGCAGAATGCACTGAGGAAAGCGGGGCTAGAGTCCAACTCCAGAGAGGCAGGCAGTGGCCTGGGGGGGGGCACACCTGTCCCAGCCATGAGGCGAGAATCAGAGGCAGGGGGAGTTTCAGAGGTGGGGGAAGAGGCAGGCCAGGCTAGTGAAGGGCCGGGTGCTGCCACACTGTCTCCCAAAACAAGGAGAGAATTGCAGTGGGAAGAGCAGAAGCAACTTCCATGTCGGTGTAGTCTCTGGCTACATGCATGCTGCCTGTTTGGGGCAGGGACATAAAACTGGTGGAGTGGTCCTCCGTTGCTGTGACTGCTCCATAGAGCACAGACCTGGGAATAGCTGCCTAGGTGCTCGATTGGTGTGTGTAGGTCTCCAGAGCTGTAGAAGCAGCATAAGTTATCTTTGACAATAAAGAGTTAACACTCTGCCATGTGCATTCCTTGGCTGGGAAGCGCCCTTGGCAATAGGCTCTAGAGTTGTGGTGTTGACCCCATTACCCTGGTTAGACTACCAAACTAAAGAGCCTCCATTGGATCATTTCCTAGACACTGGGGGGGACGGGACCTCAAGGCCAGGAGCTGAAATGCGGTTCTCAAGACTTCACTATGTAGCCCTTGGGAGTCTCCCTAGATCATGCCACACTGTGCCTTTTCTACCCTCTTCTTGAGTGTTCTTGCTGGGCTGGAACGTGTTCTGTAACTTTGGTAATGCCTTTTTCTTGCCTGAATGGAGAGGTGTGTTTGTTGAAACCTCTGGATTGTGCATGTCTTGCCCATGGCCTTTGTACAAAGGCAACAGCCACATTGGTTGCTCTGCTCATTCCTGCCACTGGTCACACTTTTATGCAGCCCCTGGAAGATTGCCTGTGAGGGAATGTGACCCTTGGGCTTACAAGGGCTCTCCACCCTTGTCCTAGTCTGCAATGCTTTTTTTCCTAAGAGGAAGATAAATTTCCAATTCCTTCCTGTAATGAGTTTAAACTATTTGATGCTGAGACTCTGGCCTGAGCCCAACACATGCAGCACTGCTCTGTACAGTGGTACCTCAAGTTAAGAACTTAATTCGTTCTGGAGGTCCATTCTTAACCTAAAACTGTTCTTAACTTGAAGCAACACTTTAGCTAATGGGGCCTCCTGCTGTCGCCGTGCCGCCGGAGCACGATTTCTGTTCTTATCCTGAAGCAAAGTTCTTAACCTGAAGCACTATTTTGGGGTTAGTGGAGTCTGTAACCTGAAGCGTATGTAACCTGAAGCGTATGTAACCCGAGGTACCACTGTATTTGGAGGTACCTATCTACCATTCACATTGTTGAAACACATTTAGAAAGGAGGAGACTTTGAATTCAGTTTCCTCACCTCCAAACAGCACTGGTTATTATCCAGCTGGAGCCCCATGCATGGTTCCGAAAATAAGAATAGTGTGTTTTGCTCTAGGTCCTAAACCTCACAATAAAGTATTGGGAAGTGTGCATTCAGCACCTGTTTGCTCCCATGATTCTCAGTTTAGCACAGGATGTACATGTGGAAACCTGCTTCCATACATGTGTTGCCTTCGTTACATCAGGGCACTTTGTACCATTTTCACGGTACTCTTTCGACTGAGGGCAGAATGGGACTCAAAATATCTCAAGGACTACAGCTGCAGGCAGCAGAGGAATAAATCTTTCATGCTGCATCCACTCAAGGGTCAGCTGGAATTCAGTCTTTAAAAGGTGGTGCAAATCTCTCTCTTTTACTATAGTGCCCATCGGGAGGAGTAAGCACCAAATACAACAAATATGAAGAGGGACAAGCACAACTATGGTTTGCATTATTAAAATATATCTCAATTAGTGAAGCATCTTGGAGTACTTAATACTTAAAACAGAACGTATTGTTCACTTTGACACAGTATTCATGTTTCTGTACCCTATTGGGAAAATACTTCTATCATATTCGTAAAATGATAAATAATGTTGATAAATATTCTGCCACATTAGTGAAATGTATTCTCAAAATGCCATGCTCCTTTGTATTAACCTAAATATCAAATGCTAGTAGTTTTAGGCCACAAAAAGAATATGTGTGGTTTTAGTTACTATTTGGATACTTCTATCTTAGAATTATCCAACTGTTGTAGCATCATTAGCAATGCATCAGTCCCTAGGTCTTAGTGTTGTCATCCACTAGGAATTCAGAATTGTGTGGTCTGTTCAAACACTCCTTTGGTTCTGAAGTTCAAACTGTTTCTTTGCTAGAGACATCTGGGTAAATTGTTGATTTTTTTTGTTAATATACTTGGTGGAACATTCATGGAAAGCCTGGAAATGCAGCAATATTATATGGTGAAAAATGAAAACATGTGCCCAATTCTTTTAGGAGGTAGTGCATTGGGATTAGACTTCCTTACTCTTATCCCTAACTGCATGAGGAACCATTACTAGAAATAAGTGCTGTGTATGTGTGTTGTTTACTGCAGCTCTGTTAGAAATTTGCATTAACACCATTCATCTGTTTGGGAACTACACCTTGCCATTGTAACCTACTCCGTCCACCCCCCAAGATGATCAAGGCAAAATGATATGCATGTTGAGTACATGCACTAAGTATGTAATCCTAAACACTTTCACTAGTAAGCCCTGTTGAACTTGTGGAGACTTCCTTCCAGGGCTTTTTTTCCCCCCAGCCGGAACTCTCCAGAACTTAGTTCCAGCACCTCTCAGGTGGGCACCATTGCCATTTAAGAGAACAAGGAAAGTGTGCATGGCGAGTTCAGGCACCTCTTTTTCTAGAAAAATAGCACTGTGTTCCTTCTGAGTCAACATGCATAGGATTGTGCTGGAACACTTTGTAGGTGACAGTCTGGGAGGAAAGGGGCGTCTTGCTTGCTTGCTTGCTTGGACAGAGGCAGAGGCAGGCTTGGGCACCATCCGCCAGCCCACGTGCACCTTTGAGGAAGCCCCACCCCACCCTTCTGGTTTGTGTGAGTCGGAGCGGTATGAAGGCCTGCTCAGCTGTAGGGCTGGACAATATATCTCAGCTGCTGCTTCCTCCCCCTAAGGTGAGACATTGTGATATATCAGTATATCACAATATTTAGCTGCTGATATATCGTGATGTTGAAAACCAGGTATTGCCCAGCTCTAGTTATACAACAACAATATGGAGAGGAAGGGAACATATTTGCTGAATTACTATGAATGTAATTTTTATGAGGATCATTAGTTTATCTTGCTGTAAAAGCTTGTCAGATTTAAAAGAATTAAAATCACTTCAAAAAGCTGACTTGTGTCAAACTGCCCATGACACTAGTCTCATTGTTCTGTCCTTAAGTGCAAGGGTTTGGGTTTTTGTTGTTTTTTTAACAAAAAGCGAGCACAGAAGTCCTGATCTGGATCAGCACCTTAAGACCTCTTGTTGTAGAACTGATCCAGACTGGGCCATGTGTGCCTCCAATTTGCATCGCCCCAAAATGCCCCATTCATTTTATTCATGCCCAATTCAAATAGCCTCCATGCTATCTGTCAACAACACCCTTCACTTAGAAACAGAGCTATGTGACTAATGCCACTTTTAGTTTGGCCATCAGGCTCAGGCTTTAGCAGGCCTACATGGAAATGGAGTCCCCATAGTTGAAGAAAATCAGCAGTAAAAACCTCTTCATGTGAGGCCCTTTGTTTGCACGAGAACAAGGAATCTCTTGTTCTCTGGATTGTTTCACAACCGACTCTCCGTTTATCTCAGGAGATCACAGTGTAATGTAGGGAAACTGGCTATAGCTATGTTAAGCCTAAACTATTAGATACTGCATGAATCAAAACCCTAACCCTGGACCTCGACTTGTTCTCGGAAGGCAATATGAAGCCAGTGCAAATGCTGGAGTGTAATACGCTTCTGAAATCTCACCCCAGTTAGGAGGGATGCTGAATTCAGTACAAGTTAAAACTCATGAAGAGGCATTAAGAGCAGTCTCAAAACAATGCAAGAAAGCACAATAGGTCCAAATTGTTCAAAAGG